CCTACTGTATAAGATAGCTATTTTAAGAAGTAAGGCAGAAAGACATGTTCCTCTACACATCAACTAAAATAGTTTGGTGTCAACACAAAGATAGACCAACTGACTGAGGTGACAAAACAGATTTCAAATAAACTCATGCCTGCTTGGTGCTTGATTTGTGACACGTGGAATACTGGAGAAAAGTGAAAGGCCACTTTGGACACCCACAAAGGGAAAAATGATGAATTGGCCACAGAGGCCATGAAGAGCAAGAACATAGGAAAAATTTCTAGAACATAGGAAAATATTTCCTTGCTTTAAAAAAAAGGGGGGGGGTGTCTGTGTGCATGCGCACGTGTGCGTGTGCAGGTGTATGTACAAGAGTGCAGAGGCTAGAAGCTGATCTCTGGTATCATTCCTCAGGCACTATGCACTGTATTTTTTGAGACAGTCTCTCACTGGGACCTGGAACTCACCAATTCAGCTAGGCTGGCTGGCCAGGAAGAGATCTGTCTCTGCCTCCCCATCTTTTACGTGGGTGCCGGGATAGAACTCGGGTCCTCATGCTTGCATGGCAAGTACCTTACTGACTGAGCTATCTCCCCAGCCCCTCCTCACGCTTTTAAGATAGAAAAAAATGTTGCTAAAGAGAATGCCAAAATGACTAGCCAGGAAGAAAAGACTTGATGAGCTGAACCAACTGAAACTAAGAACTTCCATTTTTCAGAAACACGAAAGGGAAAAGGCAAGCCACAGAGTAAGAGCAAATATGCAAGTCTTTCTCTACAATATATTCTGTGAGTTCTTTACCCAAAAGAATCAGTGAGAAAGAGGCCACTCAATAGAAAAAGGAAAAAAGCAGGCTAGAAACCTGGGCAGACCATACATGAAAGAAGATGGCTCATGGAACTGCCCACCCTGTCCCCAGACACAGTGAAGTGCTGGTACCACCGTACTGCAGCTCAAGAGGAGCTGGTGCCAATGGTACAGCATCAGCAAGAGCAACATGGAAGATCTCGGTCCATCCCCCTTTTGAGATTTCTGCTGAGAATGAAGGGTTAGCATGAGGTATCACTTTGCTTTTACATTTCTAGCCATGGGAAGTATAGAAAAATCTATATCCAGAGCAAGAACAGTTAGGCCTTTCCAGAAGAGCTTTCCCCACATCTAGCCTAGCTGGCTATGGCCCTAGTATCCTGAGCACTGTAAAGAACAGATAAGCACAGGAAGCTGTGTGTGCCCAGAGACAACACTGGACAGTTAACAGCCATGTGTTTGAGGAAAGGACAACAGAAGGCAGGAATATACCCTGCCCTTCCCAGGACGGACCTGCAGTCATTTTCTCTGAGAACACCTTGTGACCTGCTTTGCTCATTTACATGCTAAAAGTTTGAGTCTGTCACATATTACACCAAGAACAGCAAGGAACAAAACCATGATTTCAGTCCTACAGTGTAAGGGAGCAACAACCAGAGATGCATTTATAAAGCGTGAAAATCACTATTTAGAGTAACTGAGGAGGATGCGATAGAGAATCAAAGAGCCCTGTTTACATGGTTTGCATTTGCAGTCTACTAAGCCAGGCTCATTTTCTCATTCCTTTAGGCTCACTTTCAGCTATCTGATACAATGGCTAAAAATAGCACATGCCTAGTGAGGACAAGGTGATTTAAGAGCATTTACTTGCTAGTGACTCCAGACTGCTTTGGTTACTTTATCCAAATGTCAGTTGTTCTGGATGGATCAATTAAGAACTGCAATACCAATTATTTACAATGAGGGAGTGGGGTGCTGGCACCCAGGCCACTAATAGGTGGAACATGATAAAGAACCATCCCGGGTACAGCACCTGATTAGGACTTAATGCCATTTTAAAATTCAACACAAATCATTTTTGTCTAGTTTTATATATTGAACATCCTAGTTGTAAGTCACTCATAATACATCTATATCAGTTTGCATTTGAACCTCGGTTGGGGAATTTTCTCTATCAGATTAGCCTGTGGAAATGTCTGTGAGGGATTTTCTTGATTTTTGAGTGATGTGGGAGGTCCCAGCCCACTGTGGGTAGGAGGTCCTGGGTTGTATAAGAAAGCAAGTTGCGCACAGGCAGAGGTAAACCTATAAGCAGTGTTCCTCTGTGGTCCATGCTTCGGTTCTTGCCTTCAGGTTCGTGCTCTGGTTTCCCTCAATGATGAATTGTGATCAGGATGTGTAAGCCAAATAAACCCTTTCCTCCCCAAGCCTGTTTTGGTTAGTGTTTTATCACAGCAATAGAAGGTAAACCAAATCATTGTGTTACATTGATTTTTTAAAATATGTGTATGAGATAGGTTAGCATATTTCTGAATTTCATTTCAGGATAATACTAAAGGCATATAAAATACTGGCCACAGGTCTCGGAATCAGTGCTCAGAGGGTTGAAACTATAAAATTCCCCATTATGCAGTAGTTCCTTAGGAACAGAAGCTAGACTGCACACTCCTTTATCTTCTCCCTGGTACTAACTGCAGCTTCAACAGACAGTAAATATTTGATGCTTTACTGAAAGAACACAGAAAAATCTTGCTAATCTGCAAAATGTTTCCAGAGCTCCCATTTTCTAAGACTATAAACACTATTCAATAAACTGGGTGAGGTTCTGTTCAGGGTCTGATGAAAGTTACTCACCTCTATGATTTACTACTGAGCCTTCTTTCTTAAAAAAATATCTTTGTGTGTAAATGCATGCCTGTATATGTGTAATATATGTGTGTGAGTGAGTGGGTGCACACATATGGAGGTCCACCTTGCCCCTTGTTTGTGACTGCATACACCAGGCTGGCTGGCCCAGTTTCCAGGGATTCTCCTGTCTCTGCTTCCCATCTTCCTGTAGGAGCACCAGGATGACAAGCATCAGCTACTGTGCCTGGCTTTATGTGTTCTTGGGATTCAAGGTCTTCATGCTTTTGCAGCAAGTTCTTTACCCAGTCATTTCCCCAGCCCTGAGCTTTCATTAGAGTAAGCAAAGTTACAAAATAACAAATGCAAAGTAGAGGTTTTTGTTTTGGGGGATTTTTAAATTCCAAAATGCTTCAAGCTAGAAAGAAAGAATTCAGTCTGGTCCTCCTCTAAGAATCCCCACTCTATGAACTGCAACATCACTTATATCACGTAACCATTATAACCTCAATTCCTAGGTCTAACAGACAACTTCTTCACTATCCCCATCCAATCAACAATCAAGTCTCATCACTTTTACTTACCAGCCTCTACTCTAATTAAGATAGCGCTGTCTCTTCCAACAGCATACTGTTTCAAGTTACTATCATCCCCGCAGGGACTACTAAGAGAGCCTTGTGCACATGGCACGATGAGATGCCTATATCCTCCCTCTTCCAATCATCCTTGAAGAAACATGAAGTCAATAGCACCATTATTTTGGAGATGGAACATAAATAAGAAATGTTCAAAGTGAAGTTTAGAATAGGTCAGAGCTAGAAGTTAAATCCAAGTTTGTTTAGTGTGCTTTATCCTTTCCCAAGCTGTGCTCCATCCTTAGTTACGCCACCCTAGAACCACTGTCCTAAGTACCACTTTCCTGATTTATGCTTGGCAAGTAGAGACAAAGACATAGGACGTTGAACTACATCTGTATAACTCTATACACTGCCAGGATTCGTCAGTACACCTGAAATCTATCTTCCCATTGCCTTAATGCCTCTTTAATCTGCAAACCCTCAGGTTGAAGGTTATAGTTAGTATTAATTAAATGAGAGGCTGTTACTATTCACTGATTTTAATTTCAAGGATAATTCAACATCTATTTTTAAAAAGACATGGAAATAAACCAGTGAATTTTTTCCCATTATACTGCTTAATTAAGCAAGATACTAAGCTGTATATATATAAATATTAGCAGGATAAGTAAACCATTATGAACAAGAAAAGGTTGGTCTTGCGACTGGGGTAATCTGGAATATATAATAAGGGCAATCAACACAAAAACACAGGGAAGACAGATGCCAGACTGTCTATAGGCAAATTAAGAAGAGTTAACATTAAACACGAGAAAGAAAAAAACCAGAATGCCTACAAATAATTCACAACTGGTGACATAATAGTGCAGGTGAACTCGCTGGCAAAACTGCCAGTGCTGCATTATAAATAGCCTGAGCACTGTGAGAGTTGCTAGGAGACCGGTTCATTTATCTACCCTTTCTTGGAGTAGTGAAAGGAACTGCAGAAAAATTAAGGGGACCCCAGTGAGCTCCCCTTTACTTCAGAGACTTAGCTTTCCCCTGTCAGATCTTTTTACTCCAAAATACAGGCACATGGATGAGTTTTAAAGTATGAAATCTGACACACATCTCAACAGCTGGGAAGTAATTGTTTATAGAAAATTTAAAAGGCAAGGCACAGGTACAATAAGACATGGGTGCAGCAAGGCACGGGTGCAGTAAGACACTGTACAGTAAGACACACGGGTACAATAAGACACAGGTACAGTAAGACACAGGTGAGTAAGACACGCACAGTGCAGTAAGACCCAGGTGTGCTCTAACAAGGTGGCATCTCTGCTTTGTTACTCATGTACTTGGAAAAATATCCTAAATCCTAGCTACAAATCTGTCCAGCAAGGAGGTCATTTGCAACAATAATCCTGAACATTATAACAATTAATTATAGGGGAAAAGCAATTATAAAGTCTTTATTCACAAAATCATACCAAATAAGCTATACTATAATAAGCAATTTCCAATCTTCTTAACCTAAAGAAATGTACTCTGAGAACTAAAAGCCAACAAAAATATCAAGTAACATGTATTTTTAAATTCTGCTGACTCTTTCCTTTCTTTCCTCTTCTTTTGGGAGACAGGGTATTACCATGTAGCCCAGGCTAGTCTAGAACTTGAAATCCTTCTGCCTGAACCTTCTAAGCACTGGAATTACAAGTGGACACCACCACATGCTGCTTTGGTTTTGCGTTCACAGCAGCTTTCTCAAATCCTGGAGGAAGCCCGCGTGGATGAGGAGCCTACCGTAGGGCTTCTCTTCTGTTACTCTTCCGGTAGAATCTAGAGTGTCAGTGGCTTTTCCCAGCTCTCCAATGGCAACATACCTCTAGGACAGAAATGAGAAAAATGGGCCATGAGGCAATACAAGACTACTTGTTACACACACCTTGAAATTGACACAGATCTTTAGTACTATTACCAATCTGATAGAAAGTGAAGGCCAAAACAAAACCAAAAAACAAAACACTCTGAAATCTTTCTGTTGGCTTGTTTCTAGTCTGTGGGAAGCACTTGCTTAGACCATAAAATCCACAGACTTCCCACACCAGCCAACAGGAGAAAGAACAACCCCACTTTTTATTTTTATGGTGCATAAGTATACTGCTATTGCAAATTTCTAAAACAACTTTTATACTGGTAATCTATTTTTTTGTGGAAAATTTTCAGATATAATTGGCTCTCCATATCCATGATTTCGACATCAACAAATTCAACCACAGAGTAAAATATTTTATACAGAGACCGGAGAAATGGTTCAGCTGTTAAGAGCACTGACTGCTCTTGTAGAGGATCTGAGTTCAGTTCCCAGCACCCACATGGTGGCTCATGACTATCTGTAACTTCAGTTCCAGGGGATCTGATGCTCTCTTCTCCAGCAATGTACACACACATATATATGTATACTTACATATATGTAGGCAAAACACTTATACACAAGAAATAAAAATAAACGTCTTTAAAATATTCTATATAAGCCAGGCGTGGTGGCGCATGCCTTTAATCCCAGCACTTGGGAGGCAGAGGCGGGCAGTTCCAGGCCAGCTGTGGCTACAGGGAGACCTTGTCTCAAAAAGACCAAAAATAATTTAAATAATAAGTAAAATATTCTCTATAAAAAGATACATATTGAATACATGCAGACTTTCTATTGTTAGTCCCCATAATCCAGCATAAACACCATTTACACAGCATTTACACTGTGGCAAGTGTTACAAGTCATCTAGAGACAAGAGACACTGTGACAGGATGAATTTGATTACAGGCACATATTATACCACATTTAGCAGGGACTTGAGGATCCCTGGACTCTGGTCTCTGTGGAGGCCCTGGAACCAATACTCCACAGACAGCAGGGTGCACTATATGACCATAACAGAGAATGGTACAATAAATCACAGCATGGCCACCACAAAAATCAATAATTTTACCATACATACAATTAAAATTATTTCAAATAAGATGATTTGCTACTACTTCTATAAAATTCTAAGTCCAGTCTTCATAACTAGATCGTGCATTTAAATAAAAGCTAAATATTAGAAAAACATGAGCAAACTCATACACATCAAGAACAGTAGAGGTACTACCTTTAACTGTCATGTGCGTTTTCAAACACAATACCAAAGCTCTCTGAAAGGAAGACATCTCAGAATTGACCACCCACATGAGTTCTCATACAGCTAAGGCAGCTTATAGTCACCTTCTTTTCACTACTCTTTTGGACGAAGTCCGGGTTTTGTTTGGAGTTTCACATGAAGTAGTGAGAACAGTGAAAAGACTGTTATTTTTCAGAGAAAATAATCTGCACTTACGTGGTTTTTAAAGGGAAGCTCAGGCCAAGCATGGTGGCACATGCCTTTAATCTCAGCACTTGGGAGGCAGAGAGGGAGGCGAATCTGTGAGTTCAAGGCCAACCTGATCTACACAGTGAGTTCCAGGGCAGCCAGGGCTACATAGTGAGACCCTGTTACAACAAAACAAAACAAAACAAAACAAAGCACAAACAAAAACCCTCAAAATATTTTGAAGAAATGCAAATTTATTAATGACAAACTCATACTAGTGAAGGGACTCCAGAAAAATGAGAATATTAAAAATTTGAATCTCATAAACATGCAAACATTACAGCAAAAGACCTTAGATGAAAACACCTCCATATTACACAGCTCATATTATTTTACACAAATGCAATGCAGAAGGAATGCTCCAATGCATTTGAATTCGTTGTTTAAAGTTTCATTAGGACTGACAAATACTAGTTTCTTGCAACTGCACGCTCAGTCTCATCACCTAAGATGCCCAACTCTGCTTCTTTAGTTCAGAATAATCAACCTGGTGTAAGCATCCCACCGGGAGAAGCACAGCAGGATGAACGGCAAGAGCAGAGGCTCACTCCAACTGGCTGGGCTGTAATTACAACTCCACCCCAGATGGTGAAGTGCTTAAGTTCATCTTAATTGCTCCAGAATCGGTTAATCTTAAAGTAGGGGAAAATAATAAGGGCCTCATGAGAAGCAGCAAAAAATTTGGAGCAACAATTTCTGTCCCTGGTAAGTAATGGGTAACAATATTATCACACAGGAGACACAGAATGATTCACAGTAACAATGGTTACAGTGACTCATGTTACAGTGAGTTCTCATAAGAAACATAAGAGCAGGCTGAGGAGACAGCTCAGTGCTTGCCACACTAGACTGAAGACTGGAGCTAGATCCTCAGAATCCACATAAAAAAGCTGGGTACAATGGCGTGTGCTTGTAATCCCAGTACTTGGGAGGTAGAGTTAAGTGGTTCCCCAGGGTTCGCTGGCCAGCCAGCCTTGCCTAATTGGGGAGCCCCAGGTCCCAGCAAGACCCCTTGTCTCAAAAAACAAGGTGGATTGGCTCCTGGGAAATGGGACCCAAGGGTGGACCTCTGGCCTCCACATAGATGTATACCTACCTACCCACGTGGGGGGGGGGGAGGGAGGGAGGGAGACTGTTTAAGAAAAACATGCAGGCTCATATACTGTGCTTTCGTCCTAGTTTCTTTCTCTACTGCTGTGAAAAATGCTCTGACCAAAACCAATTTGGGAAGGAAAGGATTTAATTTGGTTTACAGGTCCCAATCACAATTCATCATTGAGGGAAACCAGGGCAGGAACCTGGAGGCAGGAACTGAAGCAGAGACCACACAGGAATGTTGCTTGCTCAGCTACTTTTCTTACATAAACCAACTCCACCTGCCCAGGGATGGCACTGCCTACAGTGGGCTGGGCCCTTCTACCATTCAGCAATTGAGAAAATGCCTCATATTTGTAGCCACAGGCCAATCTGACGAAGTTTATTCCTCAGCTGAAGTTCCCTCTTCCCAGGTATGTCAAGCTGACAACTGCAGGTTAACCAGAACAGCCCTGAAAGCATTTTCAGTATTCTGTCATGTAACAGAATTGAACTGGGTTCCTTATGCTTGCCAAGTATCCCATGTCTACTTTAGTCTCTGAATTCTGGATGTCATTTACTTTGGGGCAAGCCCAGTTCCCGGCCTTGATTTTCTTCTGTTCTCTAAGCACCAACACCTCTTCATTTTCCAAAACCCCTCCCCCGCATTAATCTCTGTCCTGCAATTTCCAAACACCATCTCCAAATCTTGGGCAAGAGTAAATAATCAACATAAAATTCATATATAAAAAGAATGGAGGGCTATCTCAAATACACAAATTCCGTCTTATTTCCTAAGAACTATAAAAATACAAAGAATTGGGGCTGGAGAGATGGCCCAGCAGTTAAGAACACTGGTTGTTCTTGCAGAGGACCTGGGTTCAAATCCCAGCACCCACATGGCAGGCTAACAACTGTCCATAACTCCAGCCCCAGGGGATCCAACAGCCTATTCTGACCTCTGTGGGCATTGCATGATATGGGTGCACTTACCTACATGCAGGCAATACATGCATACACATAAAATAAAAAT